TAGAAAGTCTGCACATGATAAAACGATACTTGTTGAAATGGAAATAAAAACATGAATACTCTGATCTGCTAAACAACATGAGGCTTATGTATGGGGAATTATCCACAGTATAATGGTTCTTGAAGTGGAAACCTTAACCTCTCAGAGGTTGTCAAAAGATTTTGGGGGAGACTGAAAAAAGTGTTTGGAACATCGCTACTTTTCAGTTTTTCTTTAATTTTAATTCATTGTTATTATATTTATTATGTATTTTTATTTATTCGTTTTTAATATATTTCTTTTATTTATTATTATTCATTTATTTTATATTTTATTATTTATTTTTATTTTATTTTTATTATTATTATTTTTGTGTCCAACCGGTCAATAGTCAATTACATTTTTTTTACTTATTATTTTTTATTATATTTCTTTTATTTATTATTATTCATTTATTTATATTTTATTATTATTATGATTATTATTATTTTGTCCATCCTTTCAATAGTCGATTACATTTTTTATTTGTATTTTTTAATATTTATTATTTTTAATAATTATTATTTATTTTTATTTGTTTGTTTATTTATTATTAATATTGTGTTCAACCGATCAATAGTCAATTGCATTTTTTTCATTTATTATTCTTTATTATTATTTTTAATTATATTTCTTTTATTCATTATTATTTATTTTTATTTATTTGCGATTATTATTTTTATTATTATTTGTTCCACCGGTCAATTGTCAATACTAACATTTTTGATGTTGTGTTCGATGTTGATTCAGTGTTGTTTATTTTTTTCTTTAACACAAATTTTGTTACAATGTTTCAAATATAATTCAAACACCGGTTGTGTAAAAAGTAAACATCCGTTTTAAAAGCGGAAATGGACGAATCTATTATTTGTTAGGGTGTGATATACATATTCACTGGAGAGTAGTTTGAAACAAAAAAGTTTTAACAATTATGGTTGTTTTTGTGTCATCTATTTTTTTATATTGTGTAATTTAAAATTTTATTCATTAAAACTTAAAATTATTTTTATTGTAATTAAAACCCAGCCAAATATACCTTTCTCCCCTATTACGCCGCTCTGTTTGAATCCGTCCGAATTGGCCGCTTGCCAAGTTTCTACACAGTCAGTGGTCGTACTATACTTCAATCCCTTTTATTTTTTGATTAACTACACGATTTCTTTTCTTCCAAAATCGTTCATTACATTTAGATTATATATAGACTTCTGTTATATATAGACCTTATCTTCTTACGTTATACAGACATCTGTTATATATATGATGTATTTTATTTTGTTATATAGACATATTATTATTATTATTATTATTTATTTATTTATTTTTACATTTACATTATATAGACTTCTGTTATATATAAAGTTATTTTTTTTTTTTACATTATATAGACATGTTATTATTATTATTTTTATTTATTTATTTATTTTTTACATTTACATTATATAGACTTCTGTTATATAAAGACGTTATCTTGTTATGTTATATAAACCTCTGTTATATATAAAGTTATTTTTTACATTATATAGACATGTTATTATTATTATTATTTTTACATTTATGGTAGGCGTACATTGGAAATAATCGAATTTGAGAGGAGTTCTTAGATGAAAAAAATTTTAAGAACCACTGTCCAATAAAAGAGAACGCGTGGATCTTGAGTTAATAGATAGATGCTTTGGACCTGTCAAGCAGTTCCTGTCGTTGCACTACGGTGCCAGCGTCTCATTTGTAGGTGTATGCTAAGTGCAATTCACTGGAGTACACGCATATTTAAGGCACGTAATCTTGCTCATTCCAATATTTTTTTTCTTTCTAATGCAGCTGGTAAACACAGACACCTTGGTGTTGGATGCCTTAAAGCAAGTGCTGCGCAGACGTACTCAACCACGGACGCGGAGTAACAATGCCCCCGCAACGCTCTACGGTCTTATTCACCTACCAACCACTAAAACAACCATGGCACACTCGAATTTCAAAATGTCACGGGTTTATTCATCCAATAAAAACATACAGAATTCAAAATGTCACGGGTTTATTCCGAATTCGACCTCTAGTGGAATCGTGAAGGAAGGCTGGAAAGTGAATTTATTGGTTCGTTGCAGTCACTAGTTTCAGAAACGAGTAGATTCGACGGCCCTTTTTATAGTGCGTGTTAAAACAATTCATATCGACAGTCAGGCTGCTTGATAGGAGTGTTCGGGATTTGTTCTAAGATGGACCCTTGCCCTTAAAAGTCCTACTAGAATGCAATGTTTTCTTCCAACATTCCCCGTGGGTGGGTTATTCATTACATTAAAACACCATACCCACAGATGAAAATTCGTAGTGATGTTTTTTTGCCAATTCCAAGCGTATTGACCCGAAATCATTCGCCTGTAAAACTACAGTTATGTAGCAGATTCTGCGTTATTCAAAATGCTTCAGAAAGTGGGAAAATACTACACTGTCCCACTACTACTATTACTACTACTACACCACATCACTGTGCCTAGAGCTGAGTTTCCCTTTACAGTTTGGCAAGGATGTGGGCGAGAAGAAGTCTGATTGGGCTCCGTGATGCTCTGCGGTCCTATGAGACCGGCACCTGTGGCTTAAAGTGGATTCCGAACCACTACACACATCCATGGCACCTGCGGGACTCAAACCCGAAATCTTTGACACCGGGCGTCAGAGCACTAGATACCCGACCACTCAGGACATCGACCACTCACAAACATCCATGCCTCTGGTAGGATTCGAATCTGAAACCTGTGGTACCAAAGACGAGAGCGCTAGCCAATTGGCCATCAGGTCACCATCAATGAAACGAGATCTTATACAAATCTCTTCTTCGTTGGGACTCGAACCTGAAACCTGTGGCACCACCCATATTTATCATTACAACATCCTAAATACGTAGGGAATTCACTTTTTTCTTTTTCCCCTCTGACAGACAAACTTTCCTACCTACTGATTTATCATGACCATGGAATATTTCTATCGGATTTTTGACAAACATTTCTCTTAATTCGGAAGCCTAATTCCCTATTATCCAAAATCAAACATTAATAACAGTAATCGAAAAGCGCTTTCGAAAATGTCACGAACTCGTCACACCCCACCCCCGCCAGATCTGCAGGTGTGGAGGCCCAGAGCAGGTGCGAGAGCGATAACACTCGTAAATCTCGCAGTGGCTGACAGATTGGCGATAACGTCCGCTGTTTGCTCGCCAACAAAACGCGGCGGCGGTAGCCGTGTTGGCTTTGTGATAAGCTGGCGATGTTTAAGCGCGGTTCGTTAAACACCCTTAACTGCATAATTGACGGAAGGGGGTCTCTGTCGAAGGGCGAAACAGATAGACTCGGTTATGGGGTCTCAATCAAACGCTTGATTAGGCACTTGTTATGGCGTATGTAGCATACAATATATGTCATAAATTTTTTTGGTATGCGATCTCCTTTTTATTTTAGAAAAAATTCCATCAAACCTGCCATCTATAAGAAAAAAATAAATAAATAAACCAAAATAATTAAACCACTAATAATAAAACCTATTAAATAATAAAACAGTACCATATTAAACTACCTATTTAATAATAAGACCATAATAATTATAATTATTTTATTATACAAATTCAATAAATCATCTTGGAAAAAATGTGTGCAAATAAACGCAACTGTGGTATTTGCAATTAGTTAGTTAGTTAGGTTAGGTTTGTCTCTCTACGGTTATTTTTTGCATACTTTAGGCTCATTAGACCTGGACTTACAGTTTAAGTGGATTCGAACCCCTCACAAACATCCATGCCACCAGCCAGGATTCGAATCTGAAAAACCTGTGGTACCAATAGCCAGAGCACTAGCCAATGGCTACCAGGCCGCTTTTACAATTAAGGATAGGGAGTGGTCCGACTCCTCAGTTGAAGTTTTATACCGACTCTTACTCCTAATTCTATTATTGAACTGATATTTATTGTACTGGATTTAGAAAAATGTGTGAAATAAATCCATTATTTGAACACATTTTTCTAAATGAAATCTTTTTTAAATAGAATCCATTTTTCTAATGGAATAATGGAAACATATTTCTGTAAAAATAGTTTTTCAGAAGAAAGTATTCTTTTTAGCATTTCACAGTTAATATAAGCTTTCACTTAAAAGATAATCTTGTACTCATTTTCTTACAAAAAAAAGCTAACGGACGTACAAAACGTACGGTATGTTCTAAAAAATAAAAATATGTTAAAAAAGTCATTAGTGAATGAATAGGTATCATAGAATCGGTTAAGATAAGTAAAAGAAATCAGTACATTTTAAGCAGAGATGAACTCTTTGTAATGCACTAAATCTCGCTTGTTCTTAATAATAAAGAAAACTTTTTGTAAGCATCAATGCTGAGTACAGTCTTTCAACAGTTAACTGTTAAAGCAGTCAACGTCTTTGTTATTGGTTTCATTATGGAAGGATAGGATTAAAATTACTCCTTAGCATCTTAATTTAACATGTTAAGGAGTTAATTCGATCCTATCCGTCTGCCCTGGCAGATTTCGAGATATGAATTGTTTGTCTTTTACGGAGTAGGATTGTCAGCCCTATGCCCAACGCTCTACAATCATATTAGACCGGGACCTATGGTTTAAAGCGGATTCCAAGCCACTACAAATAACCTCTAACAACAGTAATCAAAATTATACCACACAATTATACAACGTTATATAAGACAACAGTATAAGAAAATATGTTTGTTGTTGTTTCCTATCCCACTTGGTTTCCAAGCCCACGAGCCCATGCGTACTCATGATTGAAGGGGAAGGAAGCAGCTTCTGTTGTGATGGAGCACCCGTAGGTAGAAGTCTGACTTTGGCTCCGTGACGCTCTTACAGTCATAGGAGACCGGGACCTACGGCTTTAAATGGATTCCGAACCACTACAAACATCCATGGCACCGCCGGGATTCGAACCCAGAGCGCTACACTCGGTCCTTCAGGTCCCAAATTTGTGTATGCCAACGGCACGCGGTGTTCCCAGGTGGTCACCCACCCAAGTACTGACCGCGCCCAATGACGCTTGACTTCGGTGATCTAACGAGAACCGGTATATTCAGCATGGTATGGCCGTTGGTATATTACATTAGTGGTATATTACATTAGTATAATGTTATATATTGTTAAGTGTGTATAATGTTAGGTTGCAAACTCTGGTAGTTTAAAAGCTGAACACAAACACAGAGGCAGAATTGAGTCAGACGGCCAATATAATATGTTTTATAGGAGCGTTGGTCCCCTAGTAGTTTGAAACGTTACTAAGTACACCAGACTAGTACACTATACCTATCACAGTATCCAGAAATTTAAAAACCTCTTTACAGATTAATATGTATTTGAAGCAATTTTATACGTCTGCAAGTGAGATTTTCGGTCCTAGAAAATAAAAGATCGCGTATAATCCACTGTGTCTTATAACCTGCAAGTGTGACTTTCAACTCTACAAAATAAAAGAGCACGTATAATCCACTGTAGCGTATAATCCGCAGCATCGTATAACATCGGATGTAATTTTCGGCTAGCGAAAATAAAAGTGCTCTCATGATCAGTAATATGAGATCTATCTCATATTACTGGTCATGTGTGTTAATTGTGAGAACATTATCTGTCGTATAACTAACTCACAGATGTGACTTTCGACCCGACAAAATACAATCCTCAGCGCCGTATAACTCGCAGGTAAAGAGATGAAAAATTTGGTCAGTATCAAAGTTAATTGATAATTATTTTGACTTTCTGTAGAACGTTTTTTAATTCTTATCTATAAATTTATCATGAATTCTGTTAGCTAAAATAGGCAGACATAAATTGGTTAAAGGAAACAATAAATTGTTAAGAACTTGTGAAAAAAAAAGAATTGGCTTCACAAGATATTTGATTGATTGGCTTCACTATATTTGTATGAAAACAATAACAATAAAATAATAATAATAAAAATCATCAAAATTATAACCCTATACTTTCAGGAAAAAGTAATTTGGTTACTCAAAAAAAAATGTACATTTTGTTCGATAGCTCGGTCACAAAAATAAACTCAAGTAAAAACGTGGACTGTATAAATTAATCTCCTTTATTTAGGCAGCCATCAAGCTCGAAGATGGACTGCCACACGCAACCTTTCTTGTTGGTTACACTTATTGAACTCTTTTTACTTATGCAACCATCAAGCTCGAAGATGCACGGCCACACGACCATTCTCTTTGGTCGAAGTTGTTCAACTCATTTAGTTTATGCAGCCATCAAGCTCGAAGATGCACTGCCACACAACCTTTCTCTTTGGTCGCTGAGTTTCAACTCCTTTATTTATGCAGCCATCAAACTCGACGATAGACTGCCACACAAACTTTCTCTTTGGTTGCAGAAGTTCAACTCCTTCTTTTATGCAGCCATCAAGCTCGAAGATGCACTGCCACACAACCTTTCTCCCGAGTCATCTCACCCCCTGCCAGACACCCCCCACAGACAGGATGTTTTTCTGGACATAGGTGCGTTGACCTCCCCTATGCAGGGGAACCTGGGTTTCGACGTAACACATTTTTTTTTTTCAATAAAATACATTTTAACAACTACTATAATTTGTGAACGAAATGAAATTTCAAAGATTTAAATTCAATTTTTTATAGTTTTCTAGGGTATTATTCTTCAGGTTCGTATCCTGACGGTGGCATGGGCGTTTGCGAGTGGTTCGGAATCCACGTTAAACTGTAGGTCCCAGTCTAATGAACCTAAAGTGTGCACCTGGGTTTCGAAAAAAATAAAATCCAAATAAATTTGTGGGATAAAAAACAACAAACAAACATGAATCCTAAAATTTTATTGATCAATTTATACGAGCGACAAACAAACCAAACCTAGGATATCATTCGCGAATTATTAGCAGGAAATTGTTGTAGGTCTCTCTATTTTGCCACCATTTATGAAAAATGATTTTCCCTATACTTTTACGCCTATTATCGCCCTCCCTTCCTTTAAATCGAGACCTATTGAGAAATTTCTGTTTAAGTTGATAAATATTGCTTGCTCAGCTATCTGAAGGAAAGCGCTGTTTGTTCAACATCGAGTTGAAGTAGCAAATAGTAGATTCAATATTTAGATAAACATCGGCTAATAACTCACTTTTTGGAACTAACATATCTTTTTTCCGGTTGCTCTGATAATGCCAGAAAGTATTATACACCGCTAATCTATTATAAACGCAGTAACTTCCAGAAAAACCTGTCAAATAATAAATGCTAATCCCTCTTTCCCATACTGACAGTGGCAAGTGGATATTTAAGAGGAGATAATTGGTTTGGCTTGGTTTGTCGCTCTACGGCCATTTGGTGCACATTTTAGGCTCATTAGGCCGGGACCTACAGCTTAAAGTGGATTCCAAGCCACTTACAAATATCCATGCCATCCCCGGGATTCGAACCTGAACCTAGGATACCAAAGGCCAGAGCGCTAGCGAACAGTCGGGAAAAAACGAGGGCTCTGTGGAGATTTGAACCCGGGACCTCTCACACCAGAAGCGAGAATCAAACCTCCACATCATCCAGCCTAATATCCAATATAGAGGATGTGATTAACTACACATGGATAGATGATGTCAATAAACACGAAGAGAAGTTCTTTCTCCAATTTGTTTTTTATACATAAATGAATCCTGCCAACGGCCATACCATGCCGAATATACCGGTTCTCGTTAGATCACCGAAGTCAAGCATCATTGGGCGCGGTCAGTACTTGGGTAGGTGACCACCTGGGAACACCGCGTGCCGTTGGCATTCACAAATTTGGGACCTGAATGGCCGAGTGTCTAGCGCTCTGGCGCTCGGTGCCACAGGTTCGAATCTCGGCGGTGCCATGGATGTGTGTAGTGATTCGGAATCCACTTTAAGCCGTAGGTCCCAGTCTCCTATGACTGTAAGAGCGTCACGGAGCCAAAGTCAGACTTCTACCTATGGGTGCTCCATCACAACAGAAGCTGCTTCCTTCCCCTTCAATTATGAGTACGTATGGGCTCGGGGGCTTGGCCAGTCAAGTGGGATAAAAAACAACAAACAAACATGAATCCTAAAATTTTATTGATCACTTTATACTGAAGAACACCACTTCGGTGGTTGTGCTACTAAGGAAAGTTGTGCAAAGGAATTTTCACGGGCAAAAGGGCCTACATTTGCGTATCACACTTGCGTAACTATCTCGATGCAACACCATTTTTTTTTCAGTCTCCCCAAGTCTCTTCATTTTTCAAACAAGTAGTTGCAACGCTTTCCTCTGCCCTTTTCAAGAATCGAACCCTCGTCCTTTTCACAGATCGTCTCATCATAACTAGGATGATTAATATAATTTTTGCCAATTTTGTCGTACAGTGGCAGCTAGAAGTGGGGAGACGGGAGTCGAACATTTTTGAAGGAGTCAGTATAAAAAATTAGACTCTTGAATCTTTAATAAAAATATTTCTTATTTTTTCAAATATTCTAGGAAAAAATTGTCGATCAAAGATCATAATCACAAAAATTACTGAGAAGAGTTGGAAATCGATATAAATTGTTCAACTCACGAGTCGAAGTCAGAGTCCGAAATTGTTAACAAATGTTAAAGATTTTTGAATGGCCTTCTTAACATTTAATTTTTAACATTAAAGGCCTCCAATGCCATTCAAGTGTGTCCTCCATAATAGTGAATGTTTTACAAGCAGACCATGTCAATGATGAAAAACTTTATAGCAGTGATATTTACAAAACACTATATCCCACCAGCAATGAAAGATCTTATAAAAGCTATTCCAAGAAGAACTACTATGAGATTATATTCTGAGTTCCATTAAAAACAAAAAGATTTAATGCATAACAAAACACCATCTCAGATCGGCAATGAAAGATCTTACAGAAGCTATTCCAAGAAAAACTTTTAAACAATATTTTGAGTTCCATTAAGAATAAAAAAAAAAAAAAAATTTAATGTATAACCAAATACCGTCTTTGTACTCAAAAAGTACAATTTTCTTTTGGTTGTCTTCAGCTTTAGTGCCTGTCCAGTTAGTACTGTTATTTTTGTAAGTCATATATTTATTTGTAAGCGAATAAAGATTTTTGAGCGAGTTCAAAAACCACACCTATAAAGTTCAATAGATTTTGGTTTGTCGCTCTATGGTCATTTTTTTTTGTGCACATTTTAGGCTAATTAGACCAGGACCTACAATTTAACATGGATTCCGAACCACTCACAAGCATCCATGAGTTCAATAAAAGTCACTGAATTTATTTCACACATTTTTCTAAATCCATTAGTAAAGATCCAAGTACACAAAATTACTAAAAAATAATCAAGAATATTTTTTTGGGCTATGGTGGTAACATGTGCCGCTAGCGTGCTGGAGGACTCAGGTACAAATCCCGTAATGGCGTTCGTTGCATTATTTGTTCAGAAAAGAATAAAACCAATGGAGGTAATGACAATGTGAGTAAGACGTCTCACATGGAAAATCCGATTGCCTGGTGGGAATTTTCCTGTTTTTCACCCATATCAGTTACCCCTAAAAGTCTATCCGGAAAGTAATATAAGATTTTCGTCGCAGAATGGGAGGGCAACAGATGTTTAACATAAAAATATAATTTTTAATTAGTAATTAAATATTTTTATATATATATATATATATATACACACATACACATAATTGATAATTATAAATTATGTGTGTATATATGTAATTTAATAATTATAAATTATAGTTATTAATTATAAATTGTAAAAATAATAAATATGTAAGAATGGTGAAAATCACTATAGTTTCTTTGAATTGCCACTAACTAAAACAAAACAAAATTGAATCACTCATATATTTTTTTAATTCAACTTCATACCATTCATCAGACAATTAAAGTAATTTATTTTTTTTAAAAGTCTTAATGCTATTATAAGCTTTTCTTAACTCAAAAGAGGATTTCTTTTTTCTTAAGAAAAAGGTTCGCGTTAATTTTGGAGTAATTAAAACCAAACCGCACCAAAAGAGAAAAAAAAAAAATCACACGAACATTTCTTTGTTTTAACCAGTTTCATTAATTAGATTCACCAGGAAAAAAAAAACACG